CCTCCCCAGTTCTGTGATACCTTTAAGCAGAAGATATTTTCTGGATCACAAAAAGCGATTTGAGTAAAGTACACATCTGAAACCACAGATAACTGTTTCCACTTCATCCCATATCAACACAAGACAGAGGGCTCTTCTATTACTGTTTAAAATAACAAGGTTGGAGTGAGAGGGAGTAAAATTCATCCACGGCTAAAACTATATTTCCTGTCTTGCCTCCGCATACAACTTGTTAAAGGATGTTACACAAATCCGTAAAATTGTTTTTTCTTGCGTTACTTTCTGTTCTTTAAATGCCATGTAATTACTGTTTACCTTTTAGGCATTTAAAGCAAGGATAAGCAGCATCCCCACAATCAAGAAATTTCTAGAGCCAGGAAGCCAGAGAAAACCTGTTCCTGATGACAAATACGTGGAGACTGTGAGGAGAGTTCTCCGCATGTATTATGACATAAAAGCGAATTAGTGGGCCTGGCTGTGCTCGGTTGAAGAGGACTATCAGATTGCACTTGTACAATTATACTGCGGAGAGAAGGTGAAGGGGTGTTCGAAAGGGGTGTCAATGGTCAGTATCTCGTGTTCTCTCCTACAAAATACAGTAGGCAGGTATTTTTCATAACACTTTACTACTAGCCTATTTTTTTCCTTCGTTCTTCTTGAGATTTTTCTGGTAATTTTAAGCAAGTGAAATGGCAGCAAGCATGCTGTCTTCCTGGAGGCTTTTTGGAAGAGTGAAAAAGAAAGAAATGCGAGTTGCTGACTGACAGCTTCAGCATGTTCTGCTACTTCTGAGGACTTTCTTCTGAGATCCAGATCGGATTTTTGTATCATGATTGCTTCCAGTTCAGGTCTTTATTGTTTTTAATATCACTGTAGGCAAATAAAACAAGTGTTTTTTAAAGAAAGTAGGAGGGAGGTGTTTCTCTTGCCAGTTCTACTGGACATCAGTGACTTGTCTGAAATGTCAGCATTGTGCCTTTGTAACTAAGCTGCGCTTTTCTTTTATTACTGAATTAGGAAACAAATTGACTGCCAAATGGCATTTTTGTGTAACTGCTGTATCTGGAGGAATCTGTTCTAATCAAATAAACTTTTTATGTGGTCATGTTTTTATGATGTGTCATGAATGAAAGTTGGGGCTTGCAAACTTCATTTTTACTTTCCTTGGAGGATAAATTCTTTATACTTGATACGAAGGGGATCCTTGTTAACCCATATGCCTCACGCAAAGGCATTTCATTTGCATTTATAAACCAGAGAAGGGAGATGTGAAGGAGAGGTAGTAAACCATCACACAAACCTGGTATAGTTCCTATCTGAGGCCTAATACCTGCCAAACTCAAAATGTTATTTCTTTTCCTCTTTTTTTTTTTTATCTATGGTTTCAGCAGATGACTTGACAAAGAAATTTCAAATGTTTTTAATCACTCCAGTAAGTGGCACTTATGCTTTGAAAAGCTGCTCTGTAGGATGTTATCTTGGGGTTTCATATCTGTAATTTATAGTTCTGTATTAATGTTATGGTTTACAGGAAAAGACTTGTGCTCAATCCCTAATGGCATTGTTTAATTCCTGTGTTAGCTGTGGGTTGAGACATAAGATGCTGCTTGACCTTGGAATGCAGTGAGTACACTCCTCTGATATTTGATGAATGAGTTGCCCACTTGAGAGCTCATCAATCTCCCCAGCTTCAGCGCGACCGAAGTTCTCAGCACTACGAATACTTTTCCCTCATTGCCAGGAATACAAGGTGTACATTGACCTACGCTGGCTTATCTGTCGCCTGCCTTCCTAATGTCAATTGCAATTACAGTTTAGTCCTTGGTGTAATCTCAGATTGGTTTAATACGAAACCTTGTTGTCCAGCTTTATAATTGGTCAACATCAGATAAAAATAGGATTGAAATTTCTGGTTTACTTCTTTACACCCTCTTTTGAAAATAAAAAGATTCTTTAAACCTAAGCTTAGATTATTACTAGTTTTAGTTGTGACAATGCACATAAACTGAGAGTTTTAAAGTTTCACACCACGCGCCAGAGACCAAATAGAGGGAACATAGACGAGTTTCTATCAAAATATGAAATCGTTGTAATACATGAGTTATTTAAGAGAAATATTTCACAATGAAAATTGTACTCCTAAGGTTATTTTTCAGTTGGCTTTCAGTTGGCTTCAGTTTGAAGCCTTGATCTTGCCTACCTTGCGCCTATATAAATCAGCCTTTTGACCAGGTTGAGATACTTGTATCAATAAAGACTAAACGATCCAAATAACAACGTTCTGTAAACTGGCTCTCCACGTAAGCTCTCCTCGCCAGCAGGAGAGTAAATCAGCATTAGGATTACTGTTTTCAGGCTCTTCTGTGAGCTGGTCTGGATAAGTGTCAAACAGCTTACAGAAGTATGTGTGAGGGTGAATACAGGCTTGGTTAACCTTGTCCTCGGGCGGTCAGTAAAGCCTCCAGGACAGAACCAAAGCGGTGGCTGAAGGTTTGCAGCAAGTCTAGGCTTGAGTGACGTGTGACTTGTTCTAACTATCCACGTGGACTTTAATTTTTTATCACAGTGGTGTTGTGCTTCAGTTTAGGAGCTTGATAAGCAGCATGGGGAGAATCCTCCTAACCCCCCTTGTTTAATTCTCTAGTGGCAGTTAGTTACGTACCCTGTCCCCGCCTCTGAGAGGACGCTGCTGGAAGCTGGAATCGGGCATGGACCCCAAGCCAGCTGCTTAGTGGTCTGTGAGGCCTGCAGGCAGGTACGTTTCAAGAAGACTTTGGACTTGCCTAACCTACAGCACAATGAAGCGTGTCCACAGAGCACAGTGGGAACTTGACATGCCAGGGCATGGTATATGCACTATTTAAAACCTGCCTGTGCCCAACCCAAGACCACTGAAGTGGTACCTGGGCTTCATGCCAGCTGCCTGAATACTCATGGGCATGGCTTAACAAATTATTTATGAAAGAAACTTAATTTTCTTTTCTACTCTAGAGGTTTACAGAATAGCTATTCAAGTTATAGATAACAGTAACCTCATTGATACAATACCTTTAGATGTCAAAGGAGCTTCATAATTACATTATGAAAGGCTGTGCTGGAAGCAAAATAGAAAGAGAACAAGGGGGAAAGTCTTTCTGGCAAACAGGAATGTGTGGAGGGGGAACAACGGTCAAAGTTGGATGTGGCCGTGTTCAGCAAATCCAAAAAGCATCAGAACGCTTTGCTTGACCGCTCATTCCTGAGCCTCAAATCAGAGACCTCTTCCTCCCCTTCTTCTTTGCCATCAAGCCTATTGCTGCCATTGGCAGCATTTGAGGCTGCAGAAAGGACAAGGGGACACTTGTCCTTGCATGCTCTTCTGTGGTCACTGGTCCTGAACCAGCTCTTGCACTCAGGTACATGCTGATATCAAAGACCTCAAAAGCAGGAACAGATTAATCTTGATTCAGTGCTGCCATCATGGACAGGTATGAGCAAACGCTCCTTTCTTACTCAGATATTCCTTCGTGCATGGGCCGCCCCCCTGCCATAGCCACATCTACATTAGTGGTTTAGGCATACGGGGACCACTGGCTGGCACTGCTGCCAGCTAGCGTGGTACAGCATGCGTTTACACCATGCTCCTAGCTTCCAAAATAGGGTGCCGTACCCACGCTGCCCGCTGGGAACAGTTCTGGGCCTGTGCTGGACTTCCGACCCATACTTGGGAATTTTCTGGGGGGTGGTGACTGGGTTTGACACAGAAACAATACAGAAGCATATATTTGCTGCTGTGCTTTATTCACTAAATGATGAACCCGAGAGAAAGTTAGAATTAGGCAAAGTGTAAAGAAGCACCATACAGTTGTTTTTTGCTGACACCATCAACCTTTGAAGCACATAAATTAGAAATTTGCAAGAAGCCTCTAGTGGAAGTGCATCCTCTAGAAGAGACCGCCAGCAATTGCCAGGCAGAGAAACCATAACTGTGAGGAAAAAAGAAAGTAGCAGCTTCGGGAGGATTTCCTCAAGATAGTTACCTAGAGATTTTTGTCCTGAGACTCCCCATCTTGATGTGCTGTGTTAGTACAGCCATGGCTTTAGACTGGTAAATACAATTTTGATAACAGCATGGGTTCTGTGAACAGATCTTCAGATCAGCTGTACTGACACCTGCTGCAGGGGTGTAAAGTGATGCCCAGCACCACGTGTGGGTCTGTGCTAGAGGTGAGAACCTGATCTTCGGCACCCAAATCCCATTTCCCATCTGCTATGCCATCCTTGCGTCTGTTCACATCCACTTTCAGTGCCGGTATTTTCACCTGAAACGTAGATAGCAAAGCTGAAGCAGTTACTCTTCATGGAAACAGGGTAGGAAAATCATAGTTTATTTCATCTCTAACTGAGTATTAGCCACACACACTCAATTTCCAAAATTAATGCTATTGCCTTAAGACATGGGGTGAGTTGTGACATAAACTGCTCATCTATTTTTTATACCAAGTTATCACTAAGTAAGTTTGTTACTGGCAAACTGTATTTCAAAGTAATTGAGCACTGTTATCCCATACTTTCGGTATTTTTCCTGTGCCATACAGCACTGAAAATAAAAACCTGGGTTACTGTTAAATAGTGAAATAAGCCTAGAAACTTCAGTGGTTAGTCTTTAAATGGTTACTGCTACCCTAAATATGACCCAGAAAAATCTAGAATTTTCTCAGTGTTTTAAAGTGTCTCACCCTTTTATTTGGGTAAAACGCCCCAATAATTCCAAGAGAGCAGTTTGAATAGATGGCTACCATAGAAGCTATGAGGCTACCCACATGGTATAGTCAAATCAGCAAACTGAAAAAGAAAGACAGTCTCTGCCTTGGATGGCAATTTTCAGAGATGTACGTCTTTAAGCTGGGTAGTGCCAGCTTAATAGTAATGGGAGATTTTCTCTCTAATTGGGTACGGCTGGAAACTCCCCCGAGCTCCAAAGTTTAAACACCCCTGGGGAACCTGCCTGTGCTGGGCGGAGGCTGAGTTAAGGTCAGAAGGTAAGTACTAACTTACAAATTCCTTCTTCTTAAAGCGTTTGAGCGACTATTTATAGTGAAGCTACTTCCAAATTTATTAGGGCATCTGCTGGCGTAATGTAAATTCTCTGCTCTCTTTAGTTTGTATGCCAGGTAGACTAAGCATGGCTCGATAGTTACTCACCAGCTGGAAGCTGCAGGAGAGAGAAAGCAAGAGGAAGACCTTTTTTAACCAGGAAATGAATCCTGCGGTACAGTTCAGAGCTGAGCACTGCAGCCATAAAAGCACTGAGGGGACAAAGTGTGGGAAGGCAACGGTGGGTGGGAGAACACAGTGCAAGCCCCTAGCACCGTGGCAGTTTCTTCTGGGTTTGAGCAGGAAAGCTGGCCCATTTGGTATGCTGGACTCCGCTGCCAGCTCCAGGGCAAAAGGGCACTTCATGCTGAACGCAGATAATGCTGTTTCTGAAAGACCATTCCCTCTTAAACAGTTCTTATATTGCTGAGAAGCATCCTCCGAGAAATTCAGGACAGGCATGTCATTAAGGCTCACTAGGAAATAAGATGGAAATATGGAGTTTAGACAAAAGCAGTAAAAACATTTGTATATAGACAAATCTTGTATTGAGGTCTTTGCTAAATATTAATTAAGGCTAAAGGTAATGCATGCAAGACGTGGTTACTTATTTGGCTCCAGTGTAAACTCCCGGTGTGAACCAATTCTTCAGCAGTGTCTGGGCTACTGCAGCAGTCCCAAAATGCCCTGGATGGTGATGCGTTCTTGCTATGGGAATCAGGTACTGCTTAGGTAAAATAGGAAGGTTTTCCATATCTGCTCTCCATATTCCCTGGGAGCCTTTGGTCACTTGTACCTTTTGCAAGAGTCAATTTCTTCA